CAAATGGTATGGTCTGCTAATCGAAATAGTCCAATTGGACTTTGGGCACAATTGCAACTTTCTCAAGAAGGGGATTTAACACTGCAAGATGTTCATGGCACTCTGGTTTGGTCTACAAAGACAGCAGGTAAATCTGTTTCCGGATTGAAGTTAACTCATCAGGGTAACCTTGTGCTGTTTGATAGAAACGATGAAACAATTTGGCAGTCTTTTGAGCATCCGACAGACTCTTTGGTTGTCGGACAGAGGCTAGTTTCTGGGCAGATATTGGTGGCAAATAGGTCGGTCACAAATTGGAGTGAGGGTTTGTATTCATTTTCAATTGATGATGATGGTTATTTTGTTGCTTATATGGAATCAGATCCTGCTCAATTATATTACAGATCCAAAAAGTCTCAATTAAGAACGGGGCAGTTTTATGCTGAGCTGACTAACACAAGTTTTGGAGCTAGCCTTTCTCCAGGTTCTGGATTTAGTTTTATACAACTAGGGTCTGATGGGAAGTTGAGGTTCTTCGGGTGGGTAGAAGTAGAATCAAACTGGAAGGAAGTTTTTAATTTGCCTGAGAACCGATGTGATTACCCACTGATGTGCGGTGAATATGGAATTTGTTCAGCGGGAAGATGCAGTTGCCCAGAACCAGATGAAAACGGAACAACGTACTTCAGGCAGCTAAATTCTTCGCAGCCAGAACTCGGTTGTTCTCCATATATTCCAATATCATGTGAGTTTCCTTACCAGCAGAGTCTTCTTGAACTCAAGAATGTTGATTGTCTACCCAGAACTAATTATCACATAACAGACATAGAGAGCTGCAAGCAAGGCTGTTTAAACAACTGCTCTTGCAAGTATACTCTTTTTATACCTGATAGTAATTCCACATCCCTTGGGCATTGCTTGTTTGGATCTGAAGTCTTTCCATTCCAGAGCGCAGATACTTCTTACAATCAATCTCTGTTTTTAAAGGTGCAGAGTTCAATTGTGAAGCCTCCCATCTCTTACATTAACAACATCTCAGACTCTAGTTGGGAATCAGAAGAGTTAACACTGCAACCTTTCCTTGTCAATGGGAATTTTGTTTGTGGCTTCCACTGTAAAGTTGATACTAAAAACAACACCTGCCTCTTTGCCATCTCCATCTTCCACTCCGATTCCACCCCTTATCCAAATTTTAAAATGGTATGGTCTGCTAATCGAAACAATCCTGTCAGACGTGGGGCAAAATTGCAACTTTCCCAACAAGGGGATTTAAGACTGCAAAATGTTGATGGCACTTTGGTTTGGTCTACGAAGACAGCAGGTAAATCTGCTTCAGGATTGAAGTTAACTCATCAGGGTAACCTTATGCTGTTTGATAGAGACAATGAGACTGTTTGGCAGTCTTTTGATCATCCTACAGACTCTTTAGTTCTCGGACAGAGGCTTGTTTCAGGGCAGAAGTTGAAAGCTAATACGTCAGCCACAGATTGGACGGAGGGTTTATATTCATTTTCAATTGACAGTTCTGGGAGTTATTTTGTTGCTTCTGTAGGGTCAGATGACACCCTAAGTTATTACCAGTCATTTAGTTCTGAACTAAAAGGCGAAACAGGGCAGTATTATGCTGAATTCAATGACATAAATTTTGGTGATTCAAAGTTTCCAGGACCTGGAGTTAGTTTTATACAATTAGGCTTTGATGGGCACTTAAGGTCCTTTGGGTGGGTGGAATCAGACTGGAAGGAAGTTTATGATTTGTTTAAGGACAGACTCAATCGATGTGAATATCCACTGGCGTGCGGAAAATATGGAATTTGTTCAGCGGGATCAGCGGGAGGGTGCAATTGCCCAGATCCAGATGAAAACGGAATAGCTCACTTCAAGTGGATAAATCCAGATCAACCAGATCTTGGGTGTTCCCCATATGTACCAATATCATGTAGGTCTCCTTTCCATGAAAGTCTTCTTGAGGTCAAGAATGTTTATCCCATTGCTATCAACTTTCTAGGTAATTATAATATAACAGACATAGAGAGCTGCAAACAAGCCTGTTTAAACAATTGTTCGTGCAAGTATGCTGCTTTGGGAAGTTATGGTTATAGTGATATACCATTTATCCAGTGCTTCTTTGGATCTGAAGCTTTGTCATTCAGGAAAGACGTGGATGGTTATTACAATTCATCTGTGTTTTTAAAGGTGCAGAGTTCAATCACAGGGCAGAGCTCTCCAATCGCACCAAATCCACAAAGGAATCCTCCATCACCAGCTCATTTTCCACAGAGAAAGAAAAGACAGAATGTGGGAGTTATACTTGCAATCACTCTTGGAGCCACTTTTATTGGGTTTCTTATCTCCACTGTCTTTTTACTACAAATTAAAAAGGACCCAAAGGATGTTGAGGAGGATTATCTGGGTCACATCTCAGGAACACCCACGAGATTCTCTTATGAAGAGTTAAAGATTGCAACCAACAACTTTAGCAACAAGCTAGGTGAGGGAGGATTCGGTTGTGTTTTTCAAGGAACATTACCTTGTGGTACTCAAATTGCAGTGAAATGCCTTGATGGTTTTGGTCCTGTAAGGAAGTCATTTATAGCTGAGGTTGAGACCATAGGAAGCATTCACCATTTCAACTTGGTACGACTGGTTGGGTTCTGTGTTGAGAAATCACGTATGCTTTTGGTTTATGAGTACATGTGTAACGGGTCGTTGGATCAATGGATCTTTTGCAGAGACAAAGCGCTTGCTCTTGGTTGGCAATGCAGAAGGAAGATCATTCTAGAGATAGCCAATGGTCTAGCATATCTCCATGGGGGATGCAGGCAGAAAATAATTCACTTAGATATCAAACCCCAAAACATCCTTTTGGATGAAAATTTCAATGCCAAGGTTTCTGATTTCGGGTTGTCTAAGCTAGTAGGGAGAGACCAAAGCCAAATTGTGACAACAATGAGGGGAACACCGGGTTATATGGCCCCTGAATGGTTGAACTCAGTAATCACAGAAAAAGTAGATGTATATAGCTTTGGCATTGTTGTTCTGGAAATTTTATGTGGTAGAAAAAATGTTGACCGATCTTTACCGGAGGAGGATGGCCATTTGGTAAGCCTTTTTAAGAGAAAGGTTGAGGATGGTCAATTTCTGGATCTAGTGGATAAGTACAATGAGGAGATGCAATCAAATGCAGCAGAGGTAGTGGAGATGATGAAAGTTGCGGCATGGTGTCTGCAAGGTGAATATGCTAAGAGGCCTTCAATGTCCATCATAGTGAAGTTCCTAGAGG